CCCCCCCGTTTTTGATCCCATTCGTTTGGGGCATGTTTAATGAAGATAATCAGGCTTTTTGGCAACTGAGACAAAAGGCTAGTCAACTTTTTTGATTTCTATGCCATCAAAAAGGGCAGAATGTTCCCCAGATATTACTTGTGATGCTTGAATGATTATTAACCCCCTTGAAATGAACTGCAACCCAGTCATGTTTTGCTGCTGGGTTGCTATCCAGGACAGACACACCAGCTCACCCATGGGGTGGAGGTGGTTTCTGGAGTGCCCCATCTCTTCGTGACAGTCCCTGCATGTCTTCTTTTTGCAAAATGGCAGGTTTTGGCTTGTGATCAATGAAAAGGGCAATATGGTGACGGCCCGACAGGAACCCCGCCTGGTCCTGATTTCTCTGACCTGTGAGGGTGATGCCCTGACCCTCAGCGCAGCCTACACGAAGGACCTGCAGCTGCCCATCACCGCACCCACCAGCAATGCAGTGCTCAAGTGCAGGTAGGAGGAGGTCACGCTCTGTCTGCTCATGAGATGCTCTCTTGCAGCTTCGGGGAGGGTCACCCATAGGCGCAATCCTGGGACATAAATCAAATGAACTGCTGTCTCCACATGGGATGGACAGACACAAGTCCTCTATAGAACCCAGGGGAGCAAGAGATAAATGAACCACAGATGGGTAAAAGGACAAAAGTGGGGTGGAGGTAGCTAGGGTGAGTGTCCTGGAAGAGGTGAGCTGAGATCTCTGGGCAGCTTTCCCTAGTCAGCCCTTCCAAAACTAAGTAAGAATAGAGCCACAAATGACAGTTAACAGAAATGAACAGCATCTACATCCAAGAAATGGAGGTCCTAGGGGTCCCTGTTGCAGTGGGGATACTCTTTCCTTAATATCAGAGGAACTACAGAAAGCTGTTATTTCAGGAAAGTCAGCTTAGTTTCTAATTAATATACTGAAAAGTACTTCTTGTTACTGAGTCCTAGGCAGCCTCTCTCTCTACCTCCTGCTGCTGGCTTCTTACCCACCTGTAAATACGCCAAGGGAAAACCCAGGGACTGACTGGCTGTAAGGGTCTGACATGGAGAAAGAAGCTGGTGTCTTTGTGCAGGCACCAGAGAGAGCTATCTAGCAGGGAGGTGACACTTCAAGGCTGTCTCTGTAGGTGCTGCCATTGCTCAGGTGGTGAAAATGGACATTTTTGTCAGTCAGCCATAAACACACACACACACACACACACATGCACCCTTTTACTCATACTCAGTTCTGCAAATTGTCCTGCTTTTATAGTGTATTTAATTTTGAAAAAAATTAAGATTGTTTGGAGTTAAGCCTGGTGAAGATGGAGGTGATCAAGCTATGCAGGATCTTTTTCTTGGTTTAAAAAATGTGGTCAGATTCAAAAGTAGGAAGGTCCACTTCTTGTGGGTCTTCTAAATTAATGATTAATATTAGATGAATTATGATTAGTATTAGAATGACCATAATTTATGCAGAATCATAAACCACTTCTATGTTTAATTTATTACTTAAATTGATTCAGCTTTTGGAAACCTTAAACACACTTATTTAGAAAGGAATCCTGAGGGCTTTCCCTGGTGGCACAATGTGTTAAAAAAAATAGCATGAAGAAGCTATCCAAAGCCCGCAGCCTGGCAAGGGAGCTGATCCAATGTGCAGCAGATCTCTCCTGTCCCTCCTGCTGCTCCTGTCAGCAGTATATGCAGTATATTTCACTCCGTCTGTCTGTTTCTGCTCCCCACTCTGTCTCTGGTGAATCCTCTTACCGCTGCACCTCTGGCCTGTCCCTCAGTACCTGTATGCATAAGTAAATAGATCCTTTTTTAAAGTAATAAATACATACATAAATAAATAAAAATCCCAATGCTTTCCTTGTGCTTATCAATGTAATTTGCCAGATGTAGAAGGCAGGGAAACATTAAATGCATTTAAATAAAATCACCTAATTCTAAGTAGAAACTATCACCTAAAGAGGTCCTGGACCTAGTTCTAGTCATTCTCTGTTAAAAAAGAGTTCCATGGAATGATACCAGATGTTCAAGTCTTGCCATCAGTAGACACAGGGTTAACATGGTGGGGTTTCTTTCCTTTATAGTGAGGTACTATGACCTCCAAACCATCCTGCTCACAAAATGTCATGAGACAAGGCTGCAAATCCCACAGGGGTGTTACTAGCAACTACACCAAACTACATTGTTCTTGTTAACTATATTTTAGATTCTGTGAACATTTGTACATCAATTAATATATCTAGTTTTATTAATGTATCAGTAAAATATAGTCAGGCTTCACTTTTTTTTTTTTGAAGTAATAACAGAATCTTTATTGTTTCAGTTGTCTTCTGGCCATGTATGTCTTATTGTTGGTTTTCTGCCACTGCCTTTTAGACCATTTCTTATATTGCGTGACATAAATCTGTGAGAGGTTGCATGAGGCAGAACAGTTTTCTTTTTTCTTTTTTTAAAATTTATTTATTCATATGGTACTGGGGTACAGGCCAGAGGTGCAGGGGCAGTGAGAGGATTCACCAGAGACAGAACAGAATAGCAGACTGATGAAGTACACTGATGAGGGGAGCAGTGGGTAAGTCAGGAGAGGTCTGCTGCACCTTGTGGGTCACCTCCCTGGCTAGGGATCCAATTCATGCTGCCATGGCTGTGGAGAGCTTTATAGTGATGCATTTTAACCCCTGTACTACCAGGGCAGCCCCATCACTCTAGTTTAAAACAAGGGACAGCAAGACTGAAACGGCCTTCATTTAGGAGCACATAGTGGTCAGAGGCAGGACTGGCTGGAATGATGTCTCCTGCCCTATGGGGGATGTGGCAGGGACACAGACTTTTCAAAGCACTGCCCCTTCTTTACCCTTGCCACCCCTGCAGAGTGCATGGCCTGGAAATCGAGGGCAGGGACTGTGGTGAGGCAGCCGCCCAGTGGATAACCAGCTTCCTGAAGACTCAGCCCTATCGTCTGGTGCATTTTGAGCCTCACATGCAACCAAGAAATTGTCACCAAATAGAGGAACCATTTCCAGCCACAGAACAGGTCAGGGGAGAGTCCTGGGTCTTTGGCCTTGGGTGTGTCCTATGGAAGGCAGGCTTCCTGGGGGTGCAGGGAGACAGATCTGCTGAACTCTGCAGTCATTGTGCTTGATGGTCTCCAGGTAACAGGCGGAATCTGTCCTTCCCCTGGGAGCATCATCTGTGCTGCTTGATTTGGTGACTCTTGCATTTTCCCTATGAACATTTGCAATGTAATGTCAGCCTGCTGGTGTGAAACTGTTGTACACCAACATTTCTCCCTTTTCTTCCTGTGACTGTGTTAAAGTGTCCAACGTTTTAATGGCTTGGTGGCAGTTGTGTCAGATCATGCTTGGATGAGTGAATATGGGTCAGACTCATGCTCTGAATATCACCATAAATGGCAAATATTGCAATAAAATGACTCCCACAATATTTTGGGTTTCCCAGTGCATATAAAAGTTCTGTCTATACTAGGTGTGTTCTGTTAAGTGCAGAATAGCAGGCTAATAAAATGGCTAGACCAGCCCTTACAGGGAAAACGCTGTGCAAAGCACAGGTCTTTGTAGCTCAATTACTGTGGCAGCTAAAAAATATATAGTCAACAGAAGTCCTGAGCATTGATATGAAAGCTGCAAAAAAGTAAGCATCTGTGGAATCCATGTAATATTTTTCATCTCATATTATAAGGTCATCAAACCCATTCACTTCACTAAACATTTTGACTTGAAGTTAAAATGGTGAGGTGATGTCCTCGAAGCCACTGCCAGTGGCAGGTCTAAGATATCAAATTCATAGTCTCTCCATTCCACCAATTAATTCCTGTTCTTTGCAAGACTTCTTGAGGTTTCTGAATTAGCATAACATATCTAGAAAAAGAATTAGAGATACTTAGAAAGTGCATGCATGTGTGCGTGTGAGCTTGTGTGTGTAGGGGGTTAGGGTGACTGCTAAGAAATTCCTGTTTGAGACGCACATAATGTTTCCTCTCAGGTCGCTTACCCAGATGCCAGCCCATTCCTGATCCTTTCTGAGGCTTCGTTGGCTGATCTCAACTCCAGGCTGGAGAAGAAAGTGAAAGCAATTAACTTTAGGCCCAATATTATTGTTTCAGGCTGCGGTGTCTTCGCAGAGGTAATGCCCAGTCTTCTTGCCATTTTCCTTGGATTTAATAATTTCTTGAAAGTATGTAAGTCTTTGCTGTTGATTAGCCGAGGATGATTTTCCAATTGGCCCTGTATCACACAATAGTCCGATTTTCTGATTTCTCAAACATCTGTTGGGAACAGGTTTCTGTGTGGAGACAAATTCAGACTCTGACCTCAAGGACAAGGGTTTGAGACTGTAAGGAGAACTCGAATGTGCTGGATTAATTCTTGACCCACATTTACTTAGCATAGTCTACTTGCACCCTCTGGTCTGCAATAATTTTGCAGTAAAGTGGGCTCTGGAAGTATTTCTTTAATGAAAATTCATTAATTTCCTATCCAGAATTCCGTTCCTTTGGGCGCTTTTATGATTTTTAGGACCATAGCGCCCCCTGATGGACAATGTGCGCAGAACATGCTGGGTAGCTCCAATCCCAGGTGCCCTACTTTCCCCCTGCTGTTAGGAAACACCCAGGTAGAAAGACTAAAAAAATTAGCAATACATGTGTCAAGAATATTACACACCATAGGCATTTAGATTCTGAGTCTAAACTCTTCCTCTGTCTAATGATCCACAAAGAACTTCATTTTAAAATGAACAAAGGTTCATTTTAACTCAGATGTTGGTCCTTAGCTTCCAGATAGCCCATCCAGCCCTTTTCTGAGGCTAAGAAAGCCACGACTGCAGTCAGATGGCCTTTGACACCTCGGTGTCCTCCCTTCTATGATTTCTGGAGTCCTGGCCCTCTTCTGTGATTCTAGAATCTCTGCCACTATAAGTCTCAGCTTTTCTGTAACCCTATCCAGCCAGAACTGCTGGAAAGTATTCCCACCAGTCCCCGGGATAATGTTGCTTGAATTAAAACCATTTTTCCTCCATTCCTTTGGAGACTTTTAAAAGAATACTGCTCATTAGCCTCCACATATAGTGTCTTGTATGGGCTTGTCCTGCAAAATAGCCCTCAGTGGCCAAAGTTATAGGCAAATGCCCACAGGGTTTCCTGAGCTGAGCACTTGGTGAAAATTCTAGACAATGCAGAGAAATACGCCATTGGACCTGCTCCTGGTCTGGGAAGATCAAACACAAGATTGAGAAACTTAGTCCACCTTAGGCAGGAACAAAGAGACTCAATTCAACTTAGAGTAACCCCCTCACCATACCCTCTCCTTTCCCACCTATTCTCTATATCCCTCCTCCCCTACCATCCACCCTCATTCTCAGAGATCAATCAGGGAGGCTTGCTGAAGGAGGAGACTTTCAATTCTGCTATTCAGGCAAGACAGAGAGTCTTTCATTTTAGGGCCATGAGCTGGTATATCCAAGGCAGGGAGGGGACAGGAGAGTGTGTGGTTCTTAGGGCTGATGTGAAAGTCTGCCTTCTTGTTGTACATGGCTTAGTCAATGTCAGTTCGGGTGTGTGTCTACACTAGGGTGTCGAGGCTGAAACTCTGGGGTGCTGCTCTGACTTTTGTGCTTTGTCCCCAGGATTCATGGGATGAACTTCTTATTGGTGATGTGGAACTGAGGAGGGTGATGGCTTGCTCCAGGTAAGGCTTCCACACCTGCAGGTGAGAGGGGGAGGCCACTATGTTTTGTCCCCTGTATGACACTTTGTATATGTCCAGGTGTATTTTAACCACTGTGGACCCTGACACCGGAATCATGAGCAGAAAAGAGCCACTGGAGACCTTGAAGAGGTAGGACCTGAAATTTAATGTCCTGAGAGGAAGCAGTGAAAATCCACCCTATGCAGTATGAGGGATCAATGCCTGGGGCTTTGGTCCCCAAATGTCTGCTTTCATAAATCATTTGGTTTTTTTTTTTTCTAAGATTTATTTATTTATGCATACAGAACTGGGGTACAGGGCAGAGGTGTAGGGGCAGTGAGAGGCTTCACTGGAGACAGAGTGGGGAGCAGAACAGGCTGACTGATGAAGTACACTGCTGAGGGGAGCAGCGGGCAGGTCAGGAGAGGTCTGCCACGCCATGTGGGTCACCTCTGGGGCCAGGGATCAAACTCATGCTGAAGTGGCTTTAGCTTCTTAGTGCTGCATTTACCTGCTGTGCCACCAGGGAGGGCCCATAAATCATTTGATTTTTCATTCAAGTTCATGATCCTCCAAACAAACCAATTAAAGAAAATATTGTTTGGGTATTTTAGCACATGTTATTATGGACTGAATATTAGATGATACCAAAATAGGTTAGGTGTGCTAATGACATTGTGGAGATATGACAATTGCACATCTATTTTGGGGAAGCACGTTGAGATAGGTGGGGTGAAGGACATGATGTCTGGAGCATGCTGTGTGTTATTTTAGCAAAAAGAGAAAAAAAGGAAAAGCATGCTAATATCTCGATAAATAGACTCTGGGTGACAATTTTGTGGTCACTTCTATATTTACTTTAGACTTTTCATGGGAAAGACATACTGAGAATAATTTTAAGTTGCATCAGGAGATAGCTAAGGTCACTTGAATTTTAGAAAGCTGATTACAAAAGAGCATATGTAGTATTTGCTTTTTTAAAAGATTTATTTATTTCTGTATACAAGAACTGGGATACAGGCCAGAGGTATGGGAGGTGAGAGAATTCATCAGAGACAGAGTGGGGAGCAGAACAGGCAGATGGAGTGAAGTACACTGCTGAGGGGCTCAGTGGGTGAGACAGGAGAGATCCCCTGGCTGGGGATTGAACTCGTGCTACAGTGGCCATGATAGCTTCATAGTTCTGTGCTTTAACCTGTTGTGCCACCAGGGAGGGACCCAAACTGTGTCTTTGTGGCTAAAACGACTGTTCAGGGTCCACACATTTCGGCAATGTTTTCATTAAAATGAGGATTTAATCATTGCTGAAACTCTGAACTGGAATCGCTCATCATCAATGGCCCTTTCCATGTGGAATGCCAGGTGGGGTGTCAGGTCTTGGGCCTGCAGCCTATGAGGCCTGGGACTTTCACCCCAACATGTGCCCCAGCTGTCACGGGAAGTTGCAGACAGGGAGCCTCCAGCCCCCAGGAGATCCCAGTGGCCTCCCAAATCAGAACCACAACAACAGAGCATGCAAGGGGAGCTGATGGTGGGGTTTTAGGACCAGAATCCTCCCAAGCTGACCCCTTTCTTCCACTTCTCACTAGCATGGGGTCTCTTTGGGGGCTGCAATCTCTTTTCCTTTTAATAGCACACATCCCTCCCTGGAGATTCTGCCCTCAGGAGCTATTCTTGCCCCTCGGTGAGCAAGTTGTAGCCCAGAAATGGGAGCTGTCATCCAAACATTCGTGTCTCTAGAAGTGCCAGACAGGAGGGCCAGGCCCACCAAGGCGATGACTGACCTTCTGGGCAGGTGTGAACCATTGAGGGAACTGAGCAAAAGCAGGCTTGTGAGGGTAGGATGGGTGATCAAGCGTCCTCTGGAGTGATAAACAAATGACTGTGATTCATCAGGGCTCCCGCCATTGGGTGTGGATTTGCTGAAACATTCTAAGAGGGGCTACAGAGCAGCCTAAGGCAAAGTCCATCCTTTTGTGGAATGTTGTGCATTTCTTTAGACTGACGATAAACATTAGTCGACTTCTCTGTGAAAAGCTCATATGATGGAACATGTAGTGTCCCTCAGGTCTCTTATACCCTAAGGAAACTAAAACAGGTTTTAATTCTAGGGGGCAATAGGGTAGGGGCTGTTACCTGGTGATTTCTGCTACTTACTAGGAAATGTGTGAAAAATAATGATAGGTGGATAACTTGTTGTGCTAAGGGAAGGAGATAAGCTGTGAGAAAATATCCAGGGTAGAGTCATGTGATTGACCAGTAAATGGTTGCTGTAAAATTCTATTATTTTTGGCCTGTTTGAGAATTGTCCTGGTGAGAGGTGGGGCAGAGTCACCAGCACTCATGAGTGGAGCAGGACTTTGAGAAGCAGCAAAGGTAGACCCCTCCTGTCCTTAGCCCCATGCCCCTCACCATCAGAACAAGCTAGACCCCAGCTTCCTGTGCATCTGAGCACAGGGAGCGTGGGGCCTGGGAAGGAGCCTGCTGCAGGTCCCCCTTCAGTGACTAGCTGGGCAATTTGGGGGCTTGACCATTACCCATTTTACATCCTGTTTTCTCTCTGGCCCCCTGCTCCAGCACCCTGCTTGGTATCTGGAGCCCTCTGTCTCTGGACCTTGAAAGTCTGTGTTTGCAAGAGTTATCGACAGAGCTTTCTGAATCTTCAGTGCCTCCTCCTCTGGGGCCTGTGTTTACAAAAGGAGGATAAGTGACCCCAGGGTAGAGTGGAGTGAGGCAGACACAGGGTCAGTCCTAATACCCCAGGAGACAGTGCAGCCAGCCGGCGTGTCTCCTATCTCTCACTGAGATTTAAGTTGCCAGCAAGTAGTCATTTATGTCCTCGAAGGGCAAATGGCTATAAATCCCACCTAGGGTGTCAGTCACCCCCACATAGGCAGAGCTCAGAGTGCTTGAGAAATCCCTCAGGCTCTGCTGTGTCTGCAGGTGTGGGCCCTTGTCTGTAAAAATCCTCACCCAGTTAAGGGGCACAGTGAGATCTGTCTGGTACTAGGAAAATATGAAAAGGGAATTACCCTTTCTTTCTTTTCAAGAAATATGCTTAAGGTGTTTATGAGATATTGAAGTTAGGTAGGCAGGTTCTTTTTTGTAGTTAAATTTTTTATTTATTTTTTCCCCAAGTTTTATTATTTTGCCCTTTGTTTACAAAATATACAAGATAGGTCAGCTTCACTCCCCTCATGTGCTTCGCTTGCCTTGCCAACCAGCAAAGCTTCAGCTCCCAGCCCTACCACCTCCCTCCCCAAAGCCCCTCCCATGCCCTCCCCCCCCCAGTTTAAACAAACTCTGAGAGTCATTGCTGTGTTTGTCAGCTTGTTTTCTGTGTTTGTTTATATTCCATGAATGAGAGAAACCATCCTGGCATTTTTTCTTTTTTTTTTTTTTTTGCATTTTCTGACTTAATTTCTTTAGGCATCAACACCTCAAGAACCATCCATATGGCCCCCAAAGCCCAAGGCTCAAAATCATTGCTTTCAATAACTGTGTGGCAGACTTACCCTTTTCTTGCTATGCTGATCCTGCATCTTAGAAAGCGGCAGGAGGGCTGTCCTTGCTTCCATATCTTGCGCCCAGTGGAGAGATTATACCACAAGGGCTTCTAGGTCCAAATTTCAATGGACACGTGGACACTTTGACAATAGGGACGTCTGTCACCAGCGACTGGCGTCAGGCTGTGCTGTGCCAAAAAACAGAGCAAATAGTGGTGGGATGCTTTTGGGGGAGATAGACACACCCCTTTCACATCTGCCTCTGTCCCCTGCTACCTGTGTGACACTGACGAATCACTCAGCTTCAGAAAGCTACTTTTTCTATAAAATCTGGGCTCATACTACTACTTCTGGCTGATCAGAATTAGGCAGTAAATAGGACTTTTGAAAATACACGGGAAAATACTGTAGATATGGCCAGCAAGTTGTGGTCTGGAGCCCCTCCATCACGGACCTGACACTTTACTTCACAGGGATGGATTCAGTGACACTGCTCCCCTCACCCCCAAACTTCGGGCCTCCTGCTCAGCCCCC